CATTGGAAATATGCTAACAGAGATGTGTGTGTGTGTGTTTCATGATTCAGTTCCTAGGTTCTGTTACAAAACCGTTCTCTTTTATTTTCTTGACACGAAACAAAATTGAGTTCTTCTGTGGCAAACGGGCCGTTCTGATCCAGAAGCTGTGGACGGTTTCATAAATTGTTTCATCATCCTGAAACACATCGACGGTTTAAAAGGATTGAAAACAAACAGCTTTATTTAAGTTTAGAGTTCTGTCAACATGGACTCAACGCTGTGGTGACGGTGACATGAAGACGGTTCATCCCGGGTAGCCAGTGTCGGCGGCTTTAATTTAAAATGATGTAATAAGTTATGAATCTTCAGTGTGTGAGCTGTCATGGGTAAATGGATGTTTCGGCCATTTTGAAGTGTTTCTGTGTAAAAACAATAAATAATTCCTATCTTATAATAGCTTCTTCAACAACCTCTTCTCACAGGACTGATAAGCTAACGACTAGTTAAAAGACTGAAGGTAATTGCTGCTCTTTAAACAGCTCTTCAAAACTTCACAACGGTTCAGGTTAATTTTGTTTAGTAAACCTTAAGTTTTACATCATACAGGTATTGCTGCTGGTGCTTTTGGTTATTTACAGAGGTGAAAATCACCAGAAGCTCCAAGAAGAAGCCCTTGTTCTGCATCAACTAGGGATTTTAAATTCAGTCATTCAGTAGTTTGTTGGAAATGTGAGCGAGCAAAATGTGTTTCTCAAGCCAGCCTAGAAAAATAAGTACTAACAATAACGAAGAAATAAGTTACAGTTGTACTAGTGACCCTCTGCCTGAGGAAAAGAGGGTGAATAGCTCCTGGGCTTCTGTGATCTGCTTCCTGTGAGTTGGGTCAGTCAGAACCACCAACAGCTGCTGTCCTAAAACAAACCCAGCCATAATTTCACAACCGTTGATGCAGATATAATTTATGAATCTATACCATCGTGTTTTATACTTCTAACTGTTGCAGATTTTACTGCCGGATGCATCAGCGATTACATTTAAATAATCTGTCCAGAAGATGGTCCAGAATGCTTATAAAGACCGGAACTGTTTATAACTTAAAAATGGCGTAAATTAACCTTTAATGATCAGTTTGAATTCAGATATGTAATGTTTTTAATGAGAGGGTTGTTCTTATTTTATTTTATGAAGCTGTGACAAATTTGTTTTATTAAAAAATGGACGACAGTTATGTATTTACATACTGACTTCCAGTGGCGCCCCCAAGGGGTGGCTGTCCACACCCAGTGAAAAGCAGTGTTCTTTAATAAGTCCGATTATTACTGTTGTTGTTTTTTTAAGTGAAAATGAATAAAGGAGCATTTATTGCATCACTACAGGTTAAACTTCCCCAGAGTTACCACAAAGATCAATTTGGCGTGCCACCCCAAATTTTTCTTTGGCGCCAAGGCCACCCTCATGAAACCTTTCTGGGGGCTCCACTGCTGACTTGAGATGAACTAAAATAAGTTAGTTTTGCACAATTTCTCGTAAACCTTCCAACTTCCCTAAAGTTTAGACCTTCATGTCAATCTGAGAGGTTTTCACTGAGGATTAATACCTTATTCTCACCCATGTAAATCTGTAATTTCACTCATGGAAGGAACTTTGCAATAAACTTAAAATGTGAATTTTTAAATAAATGTCTGATGTTTAAATGAGGATTGAAATGGCAACAATTCATTTCTAATGTAAAATTTGGCCACTAGGGGGCAGCAAAAGTACCTGTCAGTCCTCTATACTTACAGAATAGCATTTTTTTTTTTACTGTCCTCATACCCACAGGAACAAACTGAGGGTGCCCCCACCGACACAAATAGGGTTACAGCACAATGATGTAATGTAATGGTTTTTGTTTAGCAGACTTTACACTACTATACAATACTGGATCAGTAGCTGACACATTTATCTATTAGTTTCATATAAGCATAACTGCTTTTGTTTAAAACATTAGGTGATTTTTTTTAAGTCCGTGAAGCCAAGAATGTGCAAAGAAATTTGAATCATGATTGTTCAAATAATTTGGATATCGAAGGAAATGAATGGCTTTGGGAGGTCAGAGTGCGCCATGCTTTAAAATGGATGTTAGTTTAGCAGCGATACAAAGGAGAAAATCCTGCAGATGTCTCACTTGGTTGGAATCAGGATTTGAACAAATGAAGAGTTTTTCTTGGTAGGTGAAATATAGTTGTTGTGATTTTGGTCACTTTCTGAATTTACGTCAGAAATAAATTTGAACTCTTAAGTAAAGCATCTGTTTTTTCCACACTCCTAAGATGCCATTTATTTCCAGTGCTGGCCATATTACTGCTGCTGCTTTGGTGTATGAAGTCACCGGGAAAAACAACATTTAAAAGTTTATTTTTTTTCGTTTTCACTTTTTTTTGCACAAAAAGCTTCCTGGACTTCTTAGAAACTGTGTCGCCACTGCTTATCAGCAGGAAGTAGACACCCTTCATTTAACTCCCATGTCTCTTCAGGGACAAGTCTTCGGATAAGGCTATTATATGATGTGCTGTGGTTTGCGTGTATACGTTAGTAGGCCTGTTTCCATTCACAGAGCTAACAGTTTTTTTTTAAACAGTTTACGGTCCGGTGTCACTTATGTACATCTTTGGTCCCACCAGAAGAGCGGTGTTATTGGATTATAATCCCTCAAATATAAATAAGACATTTAAAAGAAGGCACACAAGCAGAGGAGACAACTAGAAAAAATCCCCAAACCCTGGTAAAATGAATTCGAGTAACGGAAGAGATTTCAAATGTGGAAATAGATGCTGTGGTTTGGATGAATGACTGAAAGCTCTTGAAGCCATTTTGGATGGGTTAGCAGCTGGAACAGAGTGCTGGGAAGAAGTGAGCAACCAAAGCGGTTGAGGTGGAATGTGAGATTGGAGCGTTTCAAAAGAACATACTGGAGGTATGAAAGTGAGAAGTGGGATTTTAATTTGGATGTGATACTGAACACAAAGCCAATAGGACTGTTTGAGATTTAGAACTCAAGAACTGCAACCGACAACAGGAAGTTCTGCTTTGTTACTGTTGAGATGGAGGACATTCTGTGAGTAAAGAAGTAGGTTTGGCAGGGAAGTAGAGCTATGAGTCATTAGCGTAACAGACTAACTGAATGTTGTGTTCCTTAAAAACAGAGAAGCTGTGAAGTAGAAGTTATGCAACGAAGGGTCCTAGCACTTGGCCCTGGGGAACACCAGAGTTAACTGGAGGCGTTTGAGTTGAACAAACCATATGAATCATATGTATGATATGAAACAAGTGAATCCATGTTGATACTGATGGAAGTAAGGTTGTTGAGGATGTTTTGAGAAATGGTGTCAAAAGCAGCAGTCAGAAGGAGGACTGGGGAGCTATTTTCTATCTCCAACAGTCATGAAGCAGGGAGACTCGGGACAGGACTCCAGTTTATCACACGGGCACACAGAGACAAACAACCAGTCACCCAATCAACCCTATAGACTCTAATTAACCTAACATCCATGAATTTGAGAAAACCAGAGTATTCGGAGGAAACCCCTGCAGGTATGTGGAGAACATGCTTACCCCGTGTAGAAAGGTCGCAGAAGACAAACACTTGCACCACCATGCGGTCCCTAGGGGACCATGCCTCTCATAACCTTTAAGTCTGACACCGTCTTGGTCCCATAAGCAGAACATGTGTTTCCATAGTTATGCAGATGATACCCTACTGGTATTTGTTTTATTGTTGTTCACGTTTTAGCTGTATTTTAACTAGTTTTAGTCACAAGCACATCCTGTGTTTATTTCCATCAAAGCTGACACACACACACACACACACACACACACACACACACACACACACACACACACACACACACACACACACACACACACACACACACACACACACACACACCTTTATTTACATGACAGGGTCCTTATGAATTGGAGGTATGACTGCATTTTTAAGAGAACAAGTTAAAGAAAAGTGAGCATATTTAAAATGCCATCCTAGCCTTTCTGACACAAATATCTCTTGCTGAACTCAGACACCATGCTTTTCCTTGCAGCCATTTAGAAATGAACTGTTGGGATATATTTAAATGAGAAACTAAAGGAACTGCTTGATCCCTGAAAGTGCTGTGAGGGAAGATGTTTGACCCAAACCCGACTCAATGGTATAATCCATGCTGCATTATCCCTTACATGGCTCAGCTTTAACGGCAGAAGCAACTATTAAAGAATTTCCCTCTCAGCATGACTGGAATACCTTGGGAAGTTGCCAAAGACCAAACAGAGCCAAATGTGCCGGCTCTTCACATGACCTGTGTTCCTCTGAGAGTCAGTGTGAGCTACTCTGCACCACTGACTCCACAAGACATTCTGGGACTCAGATGAATAGTATTGTCCTGATGTCAAGTAACTGGAGTGAACAGAGATTTCCCAGTGCACCAAACTGAACGGTGTGATACTACAATAATTTAACTTGTTTCCATTAATTAGAAAATGATAATTGATGCATTTAATAAGTCATGATTTGCCTCTTCTGTCATCTGGCCAGTGAGAACTCCTGTTGTTACTGGGAATGACCTTTTATTTTAATCACGAGTCTTTTGAACAAAAAATTATAAGAATGATAACTCCTGACCTTCTGGATCTACAGGTTCAGCCAACCATTCAGCTCTAAGATGAGTAACAGAACAATCTAGAACATTTACCTCGATATTAAATATCTTACTTCCAAGAACCATAAACACAATTTTTGCGACGTCATCAAAGTTTCTTATTTTCTTCGAGAATGGTCTCCATGTTGGTTTTCCCAAGGTTTGCTTCTTTGGTGCTTTAGGTCCTTATCAGATGTTTCTATGGTCGCTAAAGTATATTTTCACACATTTTATGAATTTAAAAAGCTTTATAACACTCATTTACTACAGATGTTGTTAGCTGGTTCTCCATCGTGTTGGCGAAGGCATTGTTCTTCACCAACATATTCTTGGATAATGGGAGTTCCTCTTGGAGGATGTTTAGGTACCATTGTGTATTCATGTGTGTTCTGATGCTGAACAGTGAGTCAGTCCACTGCCTTGGCTGAGAAGCAACATGAATTGTCAGTATGTTTTTTAAGTGGACAGACCCAGGACTGATGGTGGTGCTCGTCACTTTTTTTAACCTAGATTCAAAAAATCAGAAAGAGGAGGAGTCATCACTGCCAGTCCTGGTTTTCTTGGGCAGAAGTGGTTCTTTTGAAGGCCTTCGTAACACCTGATCAACTTCCAAAAGTCTCTGCAGACACGCCCACACTTACTTTGTCATTCTGGTGCAAGGTCGGACCTGGCGGTGGTTTGAATCCACACCTGAATCAAATATACAGGAACATTTAGGTGCTTCTGGACTTTTATTTTGGTGACTTGGAGTCTTCTTTATAAATGCTTTGGTTATAATTGTTTCACAAACTTTAAATTGTGTGATCTAATTGCTCTAAAAACACTTGAAGTCTTTGTTACGTTTGTACTGTGTTTGTTATCCAATTTCATTTTCTTTTGTTCTTCATTATACAGAGTTATAAAGGTTTATTGTTACCTTTGATCACATGTTTCGACGTTTCACTACTGCCTTCGTCATAGCAACCGCAGGAATAAAAAGGAAGTGACACCACCAACATCCGGCAGTTGCTCTGACAAAGGCGGTAGTGAAACGTTGAAACATGACAGCAAAGGCAACAACAAACGCTTATAATTCTGTATAATGAACAAAAGAAAACAAAACATATATAACTCACCAGAAGTTAGGAGTATGTATTTTTTGTTTTTGAGCCAAGCGTTTCCAGAAAATCTGATATTTCAATAGTTCTTTCCTCTTTAAGATTGATGATCTGATCAAATTAATATTTTATAAGTTTACCAAAATATAATTTAAACACCAAATCAGAAATTAGTGCTGATAATGAGGACTTTCCTGAGTGGTAACTTTAACAGATGAGTTTGTTTTGTACATGGCTGAAGTCTAATTAGCTAATGGAAGTGTGTATAATTATCCCAGTGGTGCTCCTTCTGCTCCTTCCATCTCCACAGGACTGCTGATGCTTTCGCTGCAGCTGCAGAAGACGGCTTCCTGCAGCTCGGGACAGGGCGGGTGAGCTGGCAGTCTGCTCTCTTTCCTGTGACATCACTTTCCCAAACACTCACTACTGGAAGTTTGTCCATATATGGAAGAGCTTTGCTTTCTCCCGACTGTCGGACTGTCAGGGCTATCCCACTTTTCTGCCCAGTGTTTGTGTGCAAGTCAGAGAGGAAGAGTCAGCTTACCTTACAAGGCAGACGGACCTGACCTTCTCTGCACATGTTTACAGGAGCTGCACACACCTATTTGCTCACTGCTTTAACAGCACTGTCATGCATTATGGAGTGGTGAGACTGAAGAAACCGTAGCTTAACGGCTTTAGGAAACTTGGATGAGAGTTGAAAGATATTTTGGTCCTGGAGTCTGAAATGAGCTTCTTTATGTTTCTGAATATCTTTGTACAAATGATGGCATAAAAACAAACATCTGGTTAATTTTACAACAAAGGTCAGATAATATTATGAAAATGTGTCACATTTGGTCAAACTCAAAAAGTTTTCTCACAGCTGTTTCAGTTCAGATCTAGAACCAGAACAGGAAAACTAGAAAACAAGGTTTAACTTAGGACCACAAATGACTTACCTGACTGCTGTAAGTAAGCTCACAGGCCACTTTATTAGGTATACCTCATTAGTACTAGATTTGACCCCTTTTGCCTTCAGAACCACCACAAGACTTTATGTGACTGATACTCAGATTCTCTGGTCCACATTGACATGACATCATCACACAGTTATATCCCTTTCCACCACAATCCAAACGTTCTGGACCAGACTGAGATCTGGTGACTGTGAAGGCCGTTTGAGTCCAGTGAACTCATCATCATGTTCTAGAAACCAGTTAGAGATGATCTGAGCTTAGTGACATTCTGCATTATCCTGCTGGAAGTAGCCATCAGAAGGTGGATCCATGTGGTCATAAAGGGATGGGCATGGTCAGCATCGATACTCAGTCAGGCCATGGTGGTTAAACCAGGCTCAGGTGGTACTAAAGAGTCTAAAGTGGGACCAGACAACATCCTCCAACAAACAATCAAACATATGTACCTAATAAGGTGATCAGTGAGTGTCACTGCAAAGCATGGACGTAATTTTTGGGGGGGACAGGGGGGACATGTCCCCCCCACTTTTTCCAAAGTCAAGGTTTGACCTCTGCACTTTTTACCATCCAAAAACAATATTATGCTATATTAAATTGACACTAGTTGAGCTCTAGGACCAAGCAGAAAACAACCGTTTGTGTTGAAGCCTGTTTCCCATTAGAGCATACTGTAAAGATTCACACACACCCCTCCCCACTCCGTGTCCCCCCCACTTCTAAAGTGAAAATTACGTCCATGCTGCAAAGACTTCACAAAAAGCTGCAGAGCTATGGATCAAGAATCGCTTTTCACAGTGAAGTGAACCAAAACATGTTTCTTAATCAGATATAAAATCTGGAATGTTTTTAGCAATCACATCAATCAGAAGGAAACTCTAAAACATGAAGTTTCAATAATCAGGTTATTTGTAACTCATCTGTTTAATTAATGCTTGAGATGATCAATTATTAGGGGCGTGTCATTTTGATTGACAGGTGTCTGATGAGTTGTCTGCGCTAGCGGTTTGCCCCTCCCCCCCAGCCTCAGCCTCACGTGCAGCCTAGAAGGCAGAGAGTCGCTGAATCGCTCAACCATAGTTTTCTGGAGCTTCAGTTAGCTCTAGAAGGGTTAGGGTTAAAGTTTGATAGGTGTCAGTCATCTTCCCCGACCCCACAGCCTCGTCCTCAGCTCCATAGAAGTGATGAGACACGTGACGTGGCTAATTTCTCTTTTGCACCTGACATGAAAGCATTGCGTGGCAGTTAGCTGCTGTCAAACTAGACGAGTGCCTTTCCACTGGCAGCAAAGTGTGATATGTTAAACACGTCCCAGACTCGAAGGGACGCCATCATTACATTTCAAGTCCATTTTTTACGCGCAATACTTGAACAGAACAGAAAATAAAACACTTCTTTGGAGCTGTGTTTCTCCGCCATGCTTGTTATTGTGTGGACTTCTGAAATCACTCGTGGTGTTGCAGTTATCTCGTGACTTTGTGGGACCAGCGGCGTGGAACTTTTTTGTTCCCGTTCCACATCTGAAATGCTCATGGTTGGAAGGGAGCTCGCGGGTAAAATGCCGCTATCATATTACATGCTGCTTTCACGTCTGGTTGAAAGTAGGGGTAAGATGGCAGTGGTGGGAACCGCCCGACTGACTTAAGCTCTTCAGAAACCTACAGGTGGCGTTACGGAGGCCCCATCCACCTTATAAAGATATTGCACAGAAATTAGTAGGTGAAATGAAAAAAAATCTAAATAATGATTAGATGTGAGAACACACAGACTTCCATAAAAACACCAATAGCAAAAAACCCACTAAAACTCAACTATGATAATACATGATATATAATATATGATACATATGAAAACTAATATGATTACTAATACTATATTCACCTTAAAGCTTGAATTTAAAATTATTTGAAGGTTTGTCCTACATGTGAGACTATCTTGAATTTTATTGACAGCAATAATCAAAATTTCTACATTTTTAATAATAATTTTCCATTTAAAGCTGCTTTATTGTACAGATCCTCCATATTTCAGAGCAGACCAGGACTAAATAGAGAAGGATTATTTACTGGCAACTTTTCAAATAGCTGTTTATTGAATTCTACCAAGATTCACAACCAACAGATTATTTGATACTCTTTTGAAACTAATTTAAAATACACTGTGAAAAATGTAACAAACACTCTTAATTCTTATATTTTTTCTCAAGAATTTATTAGAAATAAGCTGATCACCTTTTTAAAATGTTCATCTTTTCACTTGAATAAAAAGAAGAACCCAACAATAGTTTTTGCAAGTGCATCAAAAAGCATCTTAACTAATAGGTGACAGCATGACATGCAAAGCAAATTTACTACATTTGTGACCTATTTAAGGCCAATTACCATAATTACATATTTTAGTATCGAGTTTTAGGGGATATTTGTTCATTTTTAAACAACATTCAAAGCTTTTAAATGTAATGACAAACTTTATTTTGATTTTTGCTAATTGTATTAAAGTGAACAAACACGAGAATAGTTTCCATAAAACTGAAGAAAAGTACAAGAAAAATAAACTTGGGAAAGTGTGAAGACGTTTTAATTTTACACAGTAAAGTTCATTTTATAGGCTACTTGCTCGTTTTGAATTTCAAAACTTTTATTTGAACACCAGTCATGATAAATAACGGTTTTAATTTTCACTTAAAAATGTTTTCATACTCAAATGTTTCTCTTTTAAGCTAATTAAAGCCTGATGACCGACCTGTGCACGCAACCTTGGATATAAAGCCTGAACAATGACAAGCAAATGAACCAATCAGCACTAAAAAAGGCGGGGCCTTACTCGCGAGTCATCCAATCAGATTCCTTGGTCGGTTACCAGTCTAATTTGTCTGAAGCAAAGTTTTTGCGTCCGTCTCTCTTCGGTCCAGGACCTACCTACAGCCGTCTGCCTGCTGCTGCCTCAGAAAAAACAGAGAAGACCGAGGCGAGGCTGAGTTAGAGGAGAGAGAGAGAGAGAGAGAAAGAGAGAGGGAGAGAGAGAGAGAGAGAGAGAGAGGAGCCGAGGGGTGGACCGCTAATTTCATCCACACCGTCTTGAATGCGCCGAGGAGCGAGTAGCTTGAGCTGCTGCTACATTACCTCGCCGCGGACCGGAGGACCGGGGACACAAGTAGACATAAAGACAGACAGCTTTAGACACCCGTGTGTAGGATGGATTCCTATGATGGAGACGGTAACTACATGCACCAGGAAGACGACTGGGATCGGGATATGCTCCTGGATCCTGCATGGGAGAAGCAGCAGAGAAAGGTGAGACAGTGCGGAAGCGGCTTTGGTGATGATAAAAATCTGAATATTGTTGCCATGCAGCACCGAGGACGTGTTTTTGATGACGGCGGCGGAAAATTAACTGTTGTATTTTTTTGGAGGTTTGTTTTTGGCGCAGGGACAGGCAGCAACAGCAGCTGTTAGAGCAGGCTCGTTACCGGATGAATTCGCTTCTCACCTGCGCGACTGCTTCGATCAGAAGCCCGAACCTGCTCCAAACTTTTCTCTCCTGCCCCTCATCCCGCGTTACTTTATCCCGCTGCAGCGAATTACACGCGCGAGGCCCATCCATTAGCTGTGCCGAGGAGGGGGAGGTACAGGGGTGAGGAGAAAACAATTAATAAGCGGACCGAGTGGCCGCCGTGCATGCGCAACAGATGTCAGCCACGCGCTTGGCTGCGTTTTGTTTGCGCCTGCCCCCCTGTCATCTGGTTTATGATCCGACCTGGATTAGGCCTTGTTAACAACCAGGGGATATTTGTGTGTGTGTGTGTGTGCGCGCGCGCGCCAGCGCGTGCGCAACGGGGGTAGAACTAACTGACGTGTCTAATCTTTGACACGCGGATTCGGTGCACTTTTCCAAGCAACTGCGCCAGTTGAATGCTTTTTTTGCGCAGCCTTTAAGCAATTGTACATACTTAAGTTTCCAAACGTGTCCCGACTTTGATTCTGAGCTGCACACATTTTTCTTCTGCAAAAACGGGCTGTGAGGACATCCATATGCTGTTCCAACAAGTCCCAAATCTCCACCACGCGCCTCACAGCTGCTGCTGCTCTCTTTTCCAGACTGTATGAATGGCGTTTCGAGAAGGGGTGTAACCTTGCACTTTTTTTTGTAATTTTTTTCTGTTCCTCATACTTTTCCTCCACTTAAAAAATAAGGGGGAGTAGAGAAGAGGAAAAACGCAGTGGAATCTGAGTTTGGGTTGGGCTTGCATGGGAGCGAGCGTGCCCAAAAATGGTAATAATTAGCCCCGCTTGCTGCTGTTGGAAAACTTTTCCTCAAGTCTCATTTTTTTTCCTGCACTGCAAAGCTCTCTGCTCCCAGTTTCCTGGATTATGTCATCCCCAGACTGCTACTAGTTTAAGTCAAAATGCAGGGAAATCAAAGAAAGGTATGCAGAGGTGAACATCAGCACATTCTCCCCTATAAAATCTCCCTTCTGCCATAAAGAGGAAGTTTGCACAGAAGCCAGGAGCTCCTGGAACTTTAGTCCAGCCCACAGCACCTGAAGCAGTTTGTGGTGAAATTCCTTTCCTGTGATGACCTGCTCATTTTTGCGCCAGCATGGCCCCTGTTGATATAATCAGTCTGCAGAGAGCGGCAGGAATGTTTCAGTCATCTGTTTCTCTCTCTCTCTCTCTCTGTCTCTGTCTCTGTCTCTCTCTCTCTGTCTCTGTCTCTGTCTCTGTCTCTCTCTGTCTCTCTCTCTCTCTCTTTCTCTCTCATGTGATATGGCAGTCTTTTTTGTCTTTTCATGATTTACATTTTATCTACAGTTTAAAAGTTGTTTTTAAGTTGGTGAACAATGCAAAATAAAATCTGACACAGTCCTTGAACTCACCATCAAATGCAAATTCACTCCAGCTAAAACGGCTCAATTTTACTTCCTGTATCATAATAGACATTATGCAGTCGATGAGCACTAATGCTAAAGAAGCAAACCACTGGACTTGATTAAAAACAAATACGGAAACATATTTTAAATGTATATGCACTTTTTCATTACTCACTGTGCTCAAGTCAGTGTTAATTTTGACAATAAACTTTAATTTAGTTTTATTCTTAGTTTGTGGACTAAAATTAATTTATATTTTAGTTACAATTTAGTCATCCAATTAGTTTTAGTCTATTTTAGTCAAAAAATTTGTATTTTCAACTTGTGTGAAGGAAACCTTACACCATGAAACTGTAAACAAATAATAAATATTCACATTTTGGATCAATAAAACTAATTGTTTCTATAACAATAATTATTGGAAAATACCAAAATTAACAGTGACAGTTTGAAATTGACTCCCAATATTAATAAAATAATCAAATCTATATTAAAATGCTGTAATATTTTTAAACATGACAGGAAATGACATCATACCATAAAGGTAAACTAAAGGTAAGAATGGTTTTCAGGTGTATTTATTAATTATTATTAGACAGATTGATCAAGGTGGGACACTGAACGCTTATCATAGCGGCTGGAGCAGTGCCACGAAAATAAAAATGAAAATGATTGGACAAAAAGATGTCTGTCTGTTGGATTCGCTGAGATCCAGCCGCCCCTCGCTCGCTGTTAACAACACCGTAAAACTTTTCTAACCAAGGGAAACCCCGGGTCACATCTACTGCTTTTACTCCCAGCTGCAGATGTTTTCTCCCTTCAGACATAACCTTTACCGCCCAAAAAATTGGTGTATGACATCTGGTTAGCGGTAGCTTGTCCAAACAGTGGTCGGCTATGAACTCGGGTTATTTTCTTGTCTAGTCCCGCCTGTTCCATTTACTAATTGGTTCTTTTGTCTGGTCGCTCGTCTTTTCCGTTTTCTGATTAGATTTTTTTTTGTCAATATTCGTAATGATTTAGTCATTATGGGTGTATATATCTCTGTTTTTGTTTCATTTTAGTCCATGAAAATTCATTCATCACAAACAAATGAATATATTTCATCAACAAAATTAACACTGGTTCAAGTAACATTTTCTCTTTCAGAGGTGCCCAATTGGGATAAATCATTCTCCCTTTCCAGTCGACTCATGCGTCCCCAGAAGAATGAAAAAACAAATGCAAGTCAATGCAGCTAAGAGGTATTTTCTAATCCGCTTTGCCTCATGCCCTGGATCACACATTTGTTGTACTTCAGTTTAAATGAAAAGGTATTGATGTGTGTTTTGACTATGCCTGTCACGTACTTTGAGATTTATCAACTTGTAAAAGTTTGTGATTAGCATGGCTACAAATAAGACGTCGGTCTGTCGCATATATGATTTCACCACATAATCTCCTCTCCCCTAGCGTAGCTGCTACTGCATGGCCAGATTTCTGATGGTTCTTTCCTCTTGAAGGAAGGATTTGAGGTTCGCTGAACTTATAACCATTTTGCCTCAATTTTCTCCATGTCTGGTTCGATGACGTCACTTTGGCGACTTTGGCATTTGTCCTGGACTTATTTTAACACAAAACCTAAAATAATCCCCCCCATTCAAAAATAAGCACTTTCTTGGTATAAAAATGTGTAAAATTCAGACACCATATGTGAACTCATTGGCACATAACAAGCGGAATTAGAAAATAGCATTTTTAGCCCCTTTGACTTGCATTCATTTTTTTGTTCTTCCGGGGACCGATGGTCCAGAAGTAGATGGGTGTGACTTAGGCATGTTTTAGTTTTCAGATTTCAATGAGCGGGTGATTAACAGGCATCTGCAGAGCCTGATGAGCTGTTGCACAGGTGATTCAACCACTAAAACAAGTGTGTTGGAGCAGATAAACCACAAACATGCTGGAAACCAGCCCTCCAGGACCAGGATTAGGCAGCCCTGCTCTAAATTATTATTATTTTTTTACACTTAGGTTATTTATTTGTAATTTTCACCACCCACCTCTGGTCAAAAGCCTTTTCTGCCCCCGGCTGGATGCTGTTTGGTCGAGACATGCAGCTGGACTTTTTCGTTTACACTGGTGTCTCTTCAATAACGTCACATCTGACAGCGTTTCATCGGCTTGTTGTTCTCGAACAGAGGACCTTTCCCACCGGCAAAATGTATCAAACAAATATACGCGCACCCCTTGATCTGCCCCTCACTGAAAATCTTAACATAAAAAATGCCACCGCTTTGCTTCGTCTGTCTTTAGCTTAGGGTTGCAACGATTATAAATTTTGGTGGTACGGTTAGTCTGTAGTTGGGAATTCCGGCTCTTTTTAGAGAGCCGGTTCTTTTGGCTCAGCTCACCAAAAAGAGCCGGCTCTTTCGGCTCCTAAGTGGCTCCTCAGATTTTCTGTTGCATAGATTATGTTTATAACCAAAATAATGCAAAACTATATGTAAAATGATTTACTAATGTAAAAAAATGCAATATATCAAATATTTATCATTTCTATGTATTTAATAACTGAACACTTTAAGAAATCTCCGCTTTCCGACTGCTGGCGCCCATTTTCTCACAGTCTTCTTCGTTGCATTCTCTTCTCTCTCTCTCGCCTTTTTCCTCCTGCTCATTCCCTCTCGTCTCCCTCCACCCACATCTGCTCTGCTGTGTGTCTGAGTCTGATCCTCCCTCTTCCCCGCCCCTACTGCTCTGTGTGTGGATAGTTTGGACACGCAGTTACACATGTTGACCAATCGCCTGTAGCTTTCACCAAAGCAAGAGGGGAGGGGACGGCTCCCAATGACGAGCCGGCTCCCGTCGTTCACTTCAAAGAGCCGGCTCTTGGAGCCGGTTCATTCGCGACCGACACATCACTAATAGTCAGAGAAATAATCAAGGTTTCACGATTATTTTAGATTAATTGATTTCACATCTGTATTAACACATATAAATCACACACACATTCTATAAACTATTGATAAAAGGCTTGATTAATTCTATAAAGGTTTTGAACCCATGAAATATCTATTGTTACTTTTCAGAGATTTTGCTTAGAAAATTTCATTCTACTTCTGATTTACAACATTGATGTTTTACCTCCACGAATAAAAAGCCTGGAGGAGTTCTGCTATGTGGTGGAGATGCTAATGCTAACGGTTAGCTTCTAATAGCCAAAGCATTCTCTGCTGTTACATGGACACTGAACCAACAACAGCCTTCCCCATTGTGAGTCAAAATGGGTGAGTCCATGAATGTTAAGTGACAGTGTGATGTAGATCTGTCAGGCTTTTCTAATCCTAGAGTTTTACCATCTATTTTCTATCAGAAGCTAATGCAAGAGATAGGTGTAGGAGACTATTTTCATGTTCGGCCAGCATAAAAAACTCCGTGACTAAT